AATGATGTACAGTATTTGTCTTTCTCTGTCTGGCTTATTTCACTTAACATAAGTCCTCAAGGTCCATCCATGTTATTGAAAATGTTAGGACTTTCTTCTTTCTCATGACTGAACAATATTCCATTACATATAATACATGTGTAATATACTATCTATGTAATATATGTGTAATATATTATGTATAACATGTCTTCTTTATCCATTAAGTTTATGAACACTTAAGTTGTTTCAAGAAAAATGCTACAATAAGCATGGATGTGCAGATATTTCTTCAAGACCTTGTTTAAATTACCTTTGGATATATATACATAAATAGGATTGCTGGATCATGTGGTAGTTATATTTTTAATTTATTAAAGAACCTACATGCTTTTTTCATAATGACTGCACCCACCTGCATTCCCATCAGTTGTGCACTAGGGTTTCCTTTTCTCCACATCCTCACCAGCATTTTTTATCTCTTATCTTTCTTATAATAACCATTCTTACAAGTGTGAGGTAATAGCTCATTGTGGTTTTAATTTGCATTTCCCTGATGATTAATAATGTTGAGCATCTTTTCATATACCTTTTGGCTATTTGTATATTTGGGGTGGGGTAAAAATGAGTGTGGAAGTGTTCCATGCTCTTCTTTTTTGGGGGGAGAGAGGGTGGGAGAGATGAGTTTAAGAAGGATTGGTATTAATTCTTCTTTAAATATTTGGTGGAATTCACCAGTAAAGCTATGTGGTCCTGGACTTTTGTTTGTTGAGAGGGTTTTGAATACTGATTCAATCTTTTTACTAGTAATCAGTCTGTTTAGACATTTTCTTTCTTCATGATTCAGTCTTGATAGGTTGTGCATTTGTAGGAATTTATCCATTTCTTCTAGATTAGTTTCTAAAGGTTTATTTTGTTCTTTTATTTGGAATATATTCCTCTGTTACTTTCCTTTCCTTGGCTCTCTGTGTTGGTTTCTGTACATTAGAGGAAACAGCCACCTCTCCCAGTCTTGACAGGCTGATCTGTAGATCAGCCTCACCAATCAGCCTCTTCCTGTTCTCTCTCAAACATCTGTTATTGTCTAGCCACTTGCTTAGTTCTCAGTGGCTCCCAATAGTTAAGTATGTGCTAAGGATGGACCCTCCGTCAGTGGCTAGGAAAGATTGATGTTAGGTCCCTTGCTGGAAAAAAACTGGGAGGTGAACATTTTTACCTACTCCCTCAACGCCGAGCCTCCTGTAGAGTCACATGGGAAGGGGAGGGGGAGTGCTCCTCAGAACATTGAGAACTCTTTTTTGTTTGCTTCAGTTTTAGAGGACTCATGAATACAAGCCCCATTGACTATCTGAACCAGGTGATCCAGGGGCCCTTTCCTCAGGGAACAGCTTCAAAAGCTGAGGTGCCAGATGTGTATACAATCTTCTCTCAGAGTGACACTGGCAACTTGGAGAGGGCTGGAGGAGAGGGCAGGGATGGTTCCACCAGCTTCCCTGGTCTTCAGGGAGGATTGTAGCCCTAGATGCCTGCTAACTTAGAAGCCTGAGCCTCAGGCAGTACTGAAGTATACAAATAGAACCCTTTCAGGGAAAGACTGGGAGATGAGCACTTCTGCCTACTTTCTCTGCACTGAGCCCTGTGGTACAGCCACAGTTAGTGCTCACACCCGTTAATAACCGCTTCTTTGTTTGCTATAGCCTTGTTGGTCTCACAGATGCAAGTGCCACTGGTTTTCAGAGATATAGGTGTTTTGGGAATCTGTCCCTCACATGGGAGTCTTAAAGGCAGGGGTCCAAACCCTTAGATGCTCAGGGAGAATCTGGGAGTTGGGGGTTCCCTCCTAATTTTGTGGCATTATGCTGGGAATGGGGTTTATGACAAGAGTGTGTCTCAGCCTTCTTTACCAATTGCAATGTGGGTATTGTATTTTCTCTTTCAACTGATATGTAGGAGTCCCTCAGCTAGTTTCGGGATTTCCTTCAGAGGGAATTATTCCCTGTGTGGCTGGCTGTTCATTCAGTGTGTCTATGGGAGGAGAAGAGTTCAGGAGCCTCTTGAGTGCCCATCTTTATAGACTGCCCCTCCCCACCTTTATAAAAAGTAAATCTTAATGAGATTTGCTTTTAATACACTTTAATGGGTAATCGAAGTGAACATTGACTAACTTAGAGTGTTTTAGATTGATATTCCAGTTGTTAAGCCACTGATGTGGTAAGAGAACAAGGCTCAAGCTACCTTTAAGTGTTTATTAAACTAAGTTCATTCTATAAATACTTATTTAATGCCTACTGTGTTTCAGGCACTGTTCTAGGCACTTGGGATGCAAGTATCAAATTTTGTGGAGCCTCTGTTCTATAAAGTTATATACTAGAAAAATAATAAATACATAGATAGAAGTAAAGATTACTTATAACTTCTAAAATATTAGCCTAAGAAATATTTTAGGTCATACTGGCAGCAAAATTCCAATAATGACTACAACCCAACCAGAAACATTTTTGTGACTGCATTCTTGCCTTTTGGTTGCTCATTTATAATTTCATTTTACTGAACTCTGACATTCTCCTCTGATCTGAATTACAATGAGGGTATTACATTAAATCTGCGGTTACCTTCGCATATTTTGTGACTTCAAGCATTTAGAATATGAGTCACTGTTTGCCTAATTTTTCAAAAGTCTCAAACCAGCAGTGTTCCTTGTACTTGTTTTAGGTTTTCTCTAATGAACTAACTTCATAGCATACTTTTTGTGCTGTAGTATAGCAGAGCTATAGCTGATTGTTTTAAATTCATACCATATATGCCTCACCTTTTTCATTTGTAAAATGGGATCTGTAGAATACTTAACCAACATGGTTGCTCTCAGTATTCAGTAATATAACACTTGAAAACACCTAGAACTAAAGAAAGTGCAGGCACGTGGTAAGTTTTAAGTCCTGTATTTTCTGTACCTTTATTAGTAATGTATTTATTTTAACCCAGTAAATGGGGGTATTTTGCATTTTTTTTCCCTTTGTAACTTGAGGAGAAGCAGGATTACAATGAAAAGTAAAAGCAAACATATTCAGCAGGGCCATATAAGGAATATCTCTTTGTCCGTAAACCACTTGTCTCATGAGTAAATCCCTTTGAATGATGAAAACTGAGATGTTTGCACACTTAACTCTTTCTTTGAAGTTTTCTTTCTGATTTCAAAAGACATAATCAGCCCTGGCGGGTTTGGCTCAGCGGTTGGAGCGTCAGCCTGCGGCTCAGAGTCCCTGATTCGGTTCCCGCTAGGGGCATGTACCAAAAAAAAAAAAAAGACATAATCATTGTTATAAAATCCCAACATTAAAATGAAAAACAATGAATGTATTTTTAAAAATAAATTTATGCTCACAACAAGGTAAGATTTGCTTTCCTAGTTATAGAACAAGATTTTTTGAACTTTCTCATTGATTGCTGTAATATTTTTTTAATAAATAAATAAATTTCCAACATTAGAGAAATTAATAACTTAGGAAGCAAAAACCTATCTATCCAAACCTGGACTCTTTATCCCTAGAGACAATTAATAGCAATAATATGTATATGTTCTCACATATTTTTCCTAGTTATATAGTTATTAAAATAAGATCAAATCGTACATACTGCTTTGCAACTGGCTTTAATTCGCTTATGTAATGTCTTTGGTGTTTGTGTCAACACATTGAACTCCCTCTCATTTTCAACAGCTGCAGAGCAGTGACTGAAGAATGCACTTGTGGCTCTCCATGTATCTACCCACAGAGCCACAGGGCATTCAGATATGATTGGGGAAAAGCCTTTCTACTGACCTTTGTGCTGCCATTTACTCCCCCTCGCCCTCTCTCAAAGTCCTCACCCAAAGGGGAGTGAGACAGAAGATCTTCTCAGATCACCAGGAGACCAGAGCTTTCTGAGTTCAGGGAGGACTGAGCTGAATGATGAGTGCACATCCATCCCACAGTTAATCCTACGGATCACAGAAACATTATGAATGTGACGCCCTTGAAACTCTTCTATGAGTGTAGATGCCCAGTCATGCACAGTCTACTTGAGGCAGGAAGGAAATTTTGAGGATGTTAAGGTCAGGCTAACTTATAAAATTGTCATAGGAGGCCATTCATCCCCACTTCTCGTCTCCAACTTCAAAGCCTACTTTCTATCATTCAGATATTTACCCTTGGAGCGATTAAGTCTTCTTTTATCTTTTCCATGCCTTCATTAGCTGCCTTTTTTCTCTCTCTCTCTCTTTTTAGCTTACAAAAGGGCCGGTTTTTTTTAAGCCAAATGCCAATATGTCAAATTTTAAATATTCATTCCCATGCAATGCACAGTATGTATAATTACATACTCTATTGTAACAAATGTAGTGTTATTTAATTTGTGTACCAAACTTACACATGACTGACTGACCAGGTATAAAGGGTACTCTACACAGAGAGCTTGGAGCATTCAGCTTAGATGAGTCCTTTGTTAAACAGAAAGTAAAGCTGCAGACTCCACAACACGGGACATTTTTTGCAGAAAGGAGCTACAAGCTTCTTTGTCAAGAAAACAAGAGACACGGTTATACCAAGTGGTACTTTCATGGCTGGGCAGGCTATGATGCCTCTGTGGCATCAACCAGGATGCCAGGTGTTAGGAAACTCCTTTCTGCCATGCAGGAATGCTCAGGAAACCAGGGATGTTGGGGAAGGCTGTCCGTAGCTTCAAGGCTCCTGGAACACCAAAGCCATTGCCAATTTGTTGAGGGTTAAGTAGTAAGTGGTTCAAACTTACACAGGTAAAGCATAGAAAGGTCCTAGGTCAGAACTAAGGCAGCAGATAAGGTCCTCTTCTCTGCCTTCTCATGGTTCAGTCATCGCAGAGCCCAAGTAGCACTACACCGTCCTGGGGTTCAAGATCTGGTTACTTGTACCTCAGATAGGCCCAAGTGAACCTTTCTGAAATATTGTTTTGAGAAATAGGAATGCCTTGTCATGCTTCTGACGGCTGTTTCACCCTGTTTCTTTCAGATACCATTGTTCTTATTGCTTCAATAGCAGTTGTTTCTGCAAAAACTCAGGGTAATATTTTTGCCACGTCCGCACTCAGAAGTCTTCGTTTCCTGCAGATCCTCCGTATGGTGCGCATGGACCGAAGGGGAGGCACTTGGAAATTACTAGGTTCAGTGGTTTATGCTCACAGCAAGGTAAGGTTTACTTTCTGAGTCATAGAACAAGGTGTTTTGTTTTGTTTTGTTTTGTTTTTACTTTTTCATGGATTGCTGTAGTATTTGAGAAATCGGTCACAAGCAAACAATCATTTTAGAAATTGGTCCAAGTAATTTGGAGACACAGTATATAGTGGATTGTTTAAAAGTCATCATAAATATCCAAGAAGTAGTCAAACGAATGCAATCATGCATAGATTTGTTTTACTTTCTCAAAAGATTTTTCTCCTCTAAAAATCTCTCATTCCTTTTTTTATCTAGGAATTAATCACGGCTTGGTACATAGGATTTTTGGTTCTCATTTTTTCATCTTTCCTTGTCTACCTGGTGGAAAAGGATGCCAATAAAGAGTTTTCTACATATGCAGATGCTCTGTGGTGGGGCACAGTAAGTACAAAAACCTGTTTTTTACTTATTAGATGTTGGGAAATTTTCTCCTTTGAATACAGTGTAATGATTCTTATAAAAGTTCTCAATAAAAACACAAACGCCCAAAACAGTATGGGAAAATATACAGCACTTATAAGTGTGTAAAGAGTTTGCCCCTTTTTGGCTCAGCAAAGTTAAATTCTCTTGTAAATCATTTGCAGTAATTCTTGAGTACTAAATTGTTGCCAAAATAAAAATATATTATTTTTAAACAGTGATTAAAATGCTGATAGGCTTATTTGTTTATTTTAGCTTCGTGGAGTGCATATTTCAGTTACCAAGTGCTGCATTGGTTTGCCATTCAGCAGAACATTTATCTGATGTAAAAAATAATAAAGGAATGGTAGCTGAACAAAAGTTATAAAAGTAAAATTATGGCACAAAAAAAGTGAAAAAGAGAATACTGATAACCATCTGTGAGATCAGAGATTATAAACACCTAATTTCAAAACCTGCCTTTCAAAAACCTACTTTTCTTTCATATTTTATTAAAGGATAGTTTTCCAAACAAATAAAAGTAATCATGACCCTCATGCAGAAAGAAAGTAAACACATGCTAAAGATTTTAACTCATTTTTTAATTATTTAAGTATTAATGAGAAAACCAGTAAAATGTTACAAACAGTTGAAAAGACTATCCAAAGAATAGAAACATATCAAGATCAAGAATATTGAAATGAATGTGCAAAAAGCTGTGAGACATTTACACAGTGGAATACTACTCGGCTATGAAAAAGAAGGAACTCTTACCTTTTGTGACAGCATGGATGGACATGAAGAGCATTATGCTAAGTGAAATAAGCCAGTCAGAGAAAGATTTTGAATACCATATGATTTCAATTCTATGTGGAATCTAATGAATAAAATAAACTAACAAACAAAATAGAAACAGACTCATAGATACAGAGAACAGACTAACTGCTGGCAGAGGGGAGGGGGTTAGGAAGCCGGGTGAAAAAGCTGAAGGGATTAAGAATAAAATAAAATCATACACACAGACAACAGTATGGTGATTACCAGAGGAAAAGGGGGTGGAGGGAGATAAAAGAGGGTAAAGAAGAGCTAAATGGTGATGAAAGGAGTCTTGACTTGGGATAATGAACACGTAATACAATATACAAATGATATATTACAAAATTGTACATCTGACATCTATATAATTTTGTTAAACAATGTCACCCTAATAAAGTCAATACACATTTTTAAAATTTTTAAAATTATTTGTATTGTTGGCACTATTACAGGTGTCCCTATTTTCCCCCTTGCCCTCCTCCACCTAGCCCCTACCACCCGTTCCCTCTTCCATCACCACACTGTTGTCTGTGTCTATAGGGTATGCATATATATTCTTTGGCTACTCCCTTCACCTTCTTTCATCCAGTCCCCAACCCTGACAGCTGTCAACCTGTTCCTGGTATTCATGCCTCTGTTTCTATTTTGTTTGTCAGTTTACTTTGTTCATTAGATTCCACATGTAAGTGAGATCATATGGTACTTAGCATAATACTCTCCACCTCCATCCATGCTTCGCAAAAAAGTGAGAAATCCATCATTTTACAGCCTCTTACACAGTATTCAATTGTGTAAACATACCACAGTTTTTTTATCCACTCATCTGCTGATGGGCACTTGTTGTTTCAGGATTCTTTTTTTTTTTTTTTTTGGTACCTGCCCCTATGGGAACCGAACCCAGAACTCCCTGGTCTGCAGGCCGACGCTCCAACTGCTGAGCCAAACCGGCCAGGGCTCTTTCAGGATTCTTAAGATATATTCCCAGAAGTGGGATTGCTGGGTCAAAAGACAGTTCCATTTTCAATTTTTGGTGGAAACTCCATACTGTTTTCCTAGTGGCTGCACCAGGTTGCATTCCCACCAACAGTGCCCTAGGGCTCCCTTTTCTCCACATCCTCACCAGTACTTTTGTTTGTTGATTTATTGGTGGTATCCATTCTGGCAGGTGTGACGTTATATCTCATTGTGCTTTTAATTTGTATATTTCTGATAATTAGTGACACTGAACATTTTTTCATATGTCTATTGGCCATCTGTATGTCCTCTTAAATGAATGTGCAAAACTGGCTTCTTCCACAGTGTGAGAGGAAAGCCAAATATGCCACCACAAGACAGAATTTATTTCCATGTCTGTAGACAGGAATTATTTTGCATTGCTACCAGTTATCTACAATTTACAGAGCTGTAAAATTGCTCAAAGGCCAATAAAGGTGCAGAGCCCCATAAAATCAGAATTCAATAACCTGGAAGGGGTACTCTAAACAATGCATAGTTTTCCACTGAAGCAAAATTTCCATACATTGTAAAGAATTTTAAAAACAGTCATTGACTAGAATAGGCCTTACAGGTCACATAATCTGATCACCTATTGAGGAATGTGAGACCAAAGTGACTTATTACCTTATAGCTTATAATTGGTAATGGCCAGAGGAAAATGAACTCTCAAAGCCCTCTTTCTTTTTTTTTTTTTTTTTTAATCCTCACCCAAGGATATTTTTCCATTTTTTGTACAGATAGAGTGGGAGAGAGAGAGAGGAAAAGAGAGAGAGAAACATCGATGTGAAAGGGACACATCGAGTGGCTGCCACCCGCACGACCAACCAGGGCCGGGGACAAACTGCAACCGAAGTACGTGCCCTTAGCAGGAACCGAACCCGGGTCTCTCCAGACCGCAGGCCGACGCTCTAACCGCTGAGCCAAACCGGCCAGGGCTCAAAGCCCTCTTTCCATGAAACTATTGATATTAACTAGATGTGAGTCAGACAAAGATTATCAAATGCAAATGTTTGCAAATATGTTGATATCAACGCATTAAATAAATGTACTGCCTAAAAGGAAAAATAAATTAATGAATCAAATAAAAATAACAGTCATTAAAACATGTACCCTACTAAGAATGCCAAGAGTTAAAGAAATGCTTTATGGAATGTATAAACTATATCTTTTTTATTTTATTCCTTAAGACATTCCAAAAGGGTGTTATGTGAACATCTACAGCATTTATAATTATTTAAAGAGTTTTCCCATCTTTTTGGTCCAGCAAAGTTAAGTTCTCTTATAAATCATCACTAATATTTCTTGAGTGCTAGATTGTTGCCAAAATAAAAATAAATCACCTTCTTAAACTGTGATGAAGACATTGACAAGCTATTAGTTGTACCTTCGTGGAACATGGGTCTCATCAGTTGCTGCATTATTTCCTACTCCTCAAACCTTCTCAAGGAACCAGAACTTTTGCCAAGGACAAGGGAAATTTTTCAGGACTTGTAATAAGCAGAACTTGGTATGTTTGTTGGTTGTACAGCAGCAACAAAATGAGTAAGAATCAAAAATGTATTCACCCAAAGATCAAGATTTTTTTTCCTGAAATTATCAGGTAAATGTCTACAAGATCGTGCCGTTGAGAACAGAGAATTCAGTTGTAATGAACGGGTCAAAAGACAGTTCCATTTTCATTTTTTTGTGGAAACACCTCTCTGCCCCACCCCCACAAGCAATAATGAAAATTTAGAAAGGAGGAAGGTGGAAATCCTAAAAGAGAGCAACCATCTGACATTCTTAAAACACTTCTTACATGGGGGTTGGCAAAAATAGGTTTACAGTTGTTCATATGGAAAATAATACAATAACTAATAAACAGTGATATAAGAATAAACTCTTTCACATACTCACTACTGTAAACCTACCTTTGCCCACCCCTGTCTGTAGAGAGCAAACAAAAATCTATGACTCCCGGCGAGAGAAGCAGAAAATGGAGGCTTTCCTAGCCAATGAGGGGAAGAGAATGTATAAACCCAGCCTTCAAAGCAACAATTTGAATTTAAGTTTAGGTTTTGCTTCTCTTTGATAATTCTAACTGTGTAAACTCCTGAGACACTCAGGTGGCGCCTCTTCCCACTGAAGGCAGTTGTTGGTGAGGTCAGCAGGCAGCTCTTCATCCTTTGCCCCATTTGTCTTCTTTCCGCCTTGTTACTAATAGGAGTGGTTGTATTGTGTGTTAAACAGTGTGTGGGAAACTCTTAATATATCTCTCAGTGAGTCACCAGCTTCTTTCTTTTGCCAGAATAATCCAAGTAGCAGATTTTCTAAGATCGTATCTGTGACTTTGAGGGGTGGGTTTGGGAGATAGCAACATATTTTCATCCATTTCCATTTCAATGGTGCTATTTTGACTGAAATGTAACCTGTACTTGGCAGGCTTCTTGAATGGCCCAATTATATCTCTGTTGTTTTTGTTGGGTTTTTTTTAATCTAGTCTTGAATATGAGAATAAAAATCTTCTAAGACATTAGGTTTCTAGGAATAAAAATGGCCTTTTTGGTTCACAGTGGGTTTGTTGATATTAACTGACTCATTAATGAAGTTATCTAAAGCCTAAAATAATAAGCAAACAGAGGGCTTATTATTTTTATTCATTATAAGAATATATACTATGTCTCCAATGTGAAATAAAATAAACTTAGAATACTATACTTTCCATTATGTTTTAATCAAGACATTAAGGAATATATGGCTGGATACTTTTTAGTTAAAATTGTCCATGTTGCACATAACAGACACCTTCCTAACTATGGAAGTATCAAAAATAGATAGGGAAATGAAAGCATCCTGAATTAAGTGTTTCTAAGTGCAAGGCTTTGGTGAAAAAAAGGAAATTTCCTTTATTACAAAAAGGCCCAAAGTATCAACATTAAGTATCAAAATGTAATTTGTGCTCCAGGACTACAGTATCCCAATGAATTTTAAATATTAACTACTAAACATCTTTCATTAAGAAGATGCTGAGAGAGCCATTTATTTCCAAGAGAAACTTTTGGAGAAATACAGTGGTGTGATCAGCACTGCTTAAAGCCAATAGCAATTCAGGGAATTTTGTTATGATCTCTGAAAACAATTCTGTACTAGTGAATAACAGTACTTAGTAGCTCACTGAGTAAGTGGGATAG